TGCCCTGTTTGTAATAGTACTTGATGCCATCGACATTATCTTAGGTCGCTTAATTATACTAACCTTTCGATAAATACACAGAGTCATATTACGACGGGCATAATTCTCCACTTATTTTTTAATTTCCCAAATATCCTTTAATCTTATTCTACCCATTCGACCAGGGTAAAGAGCCTAGCTAGTTTGTTAAAAGGAGCTGCTACTTTAGAAAACTTTATAATAAAATTATAGTAGAAGTTAGCAAAACCTAGAAAACTCCTTACCTCTCTTATATTCCTAGGGGATTCCTATTCCTATACTACCTTAAGCTTTTTAGGGTTAGGTCTAAGTAATTTACCTGCCTTAATAATATAGCCTAGGTAGCGTACCTCCTTAACACTAAACGCACACTTCTCTAAGTCTAGGTGTAGTCCTGCTTCTTTTAATAGTATAAGTACACACTTTACTTTTTCTATATAGTTAAACTAGTCTCCTCCTAAATAAATTAAGATATTATTAAGGTAGGCTATTATATATAATCTAAGTAACTTTATAAGCGTGGTATTAATATATTATTAGAAAGTAGATAGCGCACTACTAAGACTAAATAGATATACTAACTATTTATATAACCTAAACTAGGTGCAGAAAGCTATTAAGGACTTATAACCTTCTACTATTCTAACTTTATAAAAGGTAGTGTAAATATCTACTTTTATAAACTAACTTATACTAGATAGTATATATAAAGTTTCCTTAATAAGTAGTAGTAGGTATTAGTCTAATATTATTATACTATTAAGTATCTAGTAATCTATATAAAGGCGCTAACTACCTAATAGCTTCTTTACTAGCAATACTAGAGCTCTAGCTATAGAAGAGCTTGCTTAGATCTAGCCCTTATCTATTAATCTAGTAAGTTGTGTTCTTAGTTCTAGTAATTAGTTACGTAATATAGGGTATAGGGGACCCTATAGGGGGTTAGGCTAGGTTCTATCTAGGAGAGTTATTAACTAAATATAGTAATCTATACTACCTTAATAAGGTAGTAAACTACTTACTAACTCTTTGTTAAATAGGTCCTTAAACTCTTATAGTTCTAGTAGTAACTTTATCTTTCTAGTTTTATACTTAGGTTTATAGGGAACTATATTACTAGTAATATAGATAGTGTGTATATTATTAGGACCTCCCTTATTAACACTTCTTAGATATTTTATTAGGTGTAAGTTATATATTACCTATAAAATATCTAGTATATTTATTATAAAAATTTATACCTATATATCTTCCTATTAGGATCCTTAATTTAGTAACCCTACTATAACTAAACCTAAGATAGTAGAGATATAAGTAGGATATAGGCGTCTCCTACTCTCTTATACTACTATATTTCCTGCCTTCCTAATTATTAATTTACCTTATAGAATGTCTATAATAACGCCCTCTCTATATAGCTATAGTCTACCTAGTATTAGTTAATAGGAGAGACTAGGTACTATATAAGCTAAAAGCTAAGACTACTAACTATTTAAATTATAGTCTAATACTACTAACTATAAAATTCTTATACCCTTAGTAATTCCCTAGGTATATTATAAGGGTTGCAGGGGAATATTAATAAAGTTCCTACTAATCTATCTTACTAACTTTTCCTTAACTATACTAAAATACTAGTACCCTAAATTAACTATTACTTACACGTTCTCTACTCTACCTAGGAGGAGGGGAATAAAGAAAGGAGGATTATTTAGCCTAGCCTTAATATCTAAGGGATACTTAATAGCTTCTACTATTAATAATTCCTCTATTATAGTATCCTCCTTATACCCCTAACTTAGCCTAAAGTTAGGGGTAGCTAGTTTCCTAAATTAGGGCTACTTGCTAATACTATAACTATCTTAACACCTACTAGTTATAGTAATAGGGTATTAGGGTATATATATATAAAATAACTACCCTATCTATACTAGGTGTAGATCTTTACTAGTTTCTATATATTAAATAGGTCCTATAGGATCTAGTTAGGATATAATATTAATAGTTTAGTAGGTGCACTTAATAAGGCTACTACTTCTACTATATTTATATTACTATCCTAATCTAAGTTAGACTTCTACTAGGGTTCCTTAGACTTACTAGCCTAAAGAAAGCCTAGTTCTAGAGAGGCTATTTTAATATCTACTATAATTATCTTATATTCCTCTATAGCTATATTATAGTTTATCCTAGAGACTCCCCTATTAAGGGAAACTAAGCGTATATAACTATTAAGAGATTACTAAAGTTATAAAAGCTTCTATTTATTATCTTAGTATAAACCTCCTAACTATATAAAAAGCTATATAAAATTTATAAAGAACTCTATAAAAGGCTAATTTTAGCCCTAATATAAGTATTCTAATATAACTTAGGCGCGCTCCTACCTATAATAGTTACTATAATAAAACGCTAGGTAGTTAAGAAACCTGCTTATATCCTAATATTTATATATACTATCCTTAAAGTATAGTACTATAGCGCGCTAGACTATAGGTAATAACTAGGACTAAATATATATAAACCTTACCTCCTTATCCCTAATAAAGACCTTATCTGCATGTAGTTTAAACTCTATAGTTATTTACTAGGAGGAGAAGTTTACCTTAGTGCTATTATATAGTAAGCTAACTAGGAAAGGTTTATAGTATAAGGTAGGAGAGGGCAGAGGTAGTATATTATTAAACCTAGTAGGCTTAGAGGAGGGTTAGGATAGAATCTAATTACGTATTTCCTTATTCTATTAATATAGTATAGCTATTATAGTAGAGTCTTAAGCCTATTATTCTATTAATCTATAGACCTATTATATTAGCCTTTCTACTATATTAGGTTATACCTAGTTATTCTAAATATCTAGCGCGTCTATCTCTTATTACTATTATAGTATATTTAGAAAAAGATACTAAAATATTATAAACTAGCCTTAAGGGAGAATATAATAAGTATTAATAATAGTATTTAGTATCTTAAAGGAGAGGTAAGCCCTCCACGCCTTTTTATAGGTGTCTAGTGTGTTCACTTAGTAGTGGTGTTAGACTTAGTCCGTCTTGTGTTAGACCTAGGCTTGGGCATAAGCCTAAGCCCTTCACAAAGTATACTAGCGGATAAGCTAGGCTTATAACCTAATATAATAAAAAGTATTAATTTTAAGAATCTATAGACAAGAAGCTAAGGTGGCTAGATATAGATATCCCCACTAGTCCCAAATGGGTGTCTCCTAGACAACCCGGGATAGGGGAGTCGCCAATGGTGGTAGGCAGTCACCATGGCTGATACAGGGTAAGCACCATGGCTGATACAGGGTAAGCACTATGGCTGATATAGAAATAACAAATTTCACCTATCATACCCAATTTCGACCACCCTTTTCTTCCCGAGGTAAAGCACGATCGCTGGCACAAGAGTCCTGGCTGAAATGTGATCGGTTCAAGGCTCACAAGAGACATGGCCGAGAACATTGAACGCTCTGTGCATGGGTTCGCGTGCTCCGAAAGCGTTGGCAACTTGGGAGCAATGCCATCATTTGCCGAGCAAATGCATTGGGCTCATGTGTACAGCGAAGCGCCACAATGCTTGTCGTAAACTGGTAGTACATACCACGAATACACTGTGAGTTGCTATAAGGGGCACCCATTGGGGTAGTACTCGGTCAACATTTGAGGGCATGTGTGGCATCGCGGAGACGACTGTGTTTGTTGACGATAGACGCGAAGGATAAAGAGATGTCAATACTAAGCTAACATTTGATAGAGTTCATACCTTTCCCTTCTGAGAGTACCACCTGTGGAGCGCCATGTATGTGGGGAACTAGGGTGATGATGCATGTGGAGAACTTATGTACAGACAGATATGCAGCAGTCAGCTGCACAAAACAGTCGATCGTGCACTTGGTCAGATCTCTCTAGCGTTCTCACATC